AAAAAAAAAAAAGAGAGAGAAAAAAGAGACTTTTTTTGAAGTTAACCAGCCATCTAATAAACGCTATTTCTTGTACATAACGCCTTATTAAATTAAATATAAGCACGAATGAATAGATATATTTCTCAAACTTGAAATCTGTTTGTTAAACCAAAAAAATAAATATTTAACAACATTATTTATCGTTTTAAGCAAGCAAACAGCTACTGATATTTCAATATCTGTTTTTACTTGTAGTGCTACTAAACCAGTATTTTTCAAGGCTTTTATTAAGCTATTGTAAAATTACCATTTTCATTTCTATCCTTCCCTTCTTTTCCTTTCCCAAAGAAAAATCAAATGCGGATAAGAAATATTTAGTAAAAGTAACAAACCTTAATATTTAAAAAAATAGATTTTTTTTTTGTTTAGCCATTATTTTTTTTTTTTTGTAAAAGCCTTTTTAAGTTAAGTACATACATTAGTTGCCGCAGACGAAGACGAAAAAAAAGCGAAAGTGAGATGGAAGGAAAAGAAGAGTAGGAGTACCAGGAAAAAAATAGGATGTATATGTTTATATGTTCTTTTTTAGAGTCAAACTTTATTTTGTTTACTTTTTTTCTTTTTTTCTTTCTTTTGGATCATTTTATGGTTTTTTCAGAGGGGAAGTGGAAAAAGGGAAAGAGGGGAAAGAAGAAAATACATTTTTGGAGTTATAAAATGGTGGCTTTAAAACAGCAAATTATTGTCATAGCAAAACGAAACTTCAACGATTTCATTTTACTGTTTTTTTTTCTCGCAGTGATTTAGAGTAGAATTGTGAATTTAATGAAAATTTAATTTACAGATAAGCATAAATTTTATGATCGATGATTACCTTCCAAATTTCAGAATCTTGTGGTCTGCTAATTTTATAACGTTCGCCTTTTTGTGGCAAATAGTCCAATTCTTTTTGCGTTTTTGCATCAAATAATCCTTCACCTTTTAGTATATTAGAATCTTTTGGTTTTTCTGATTGCCATCTGTCTGCAACTTTATACGTGTAGTCTTCGTGGGCGACGCTGTCTTTGGCAAATTTTGTGCCATCCTAAATTTGTGCCCAAAAAACATTAGTATACTTGTTTCAAGATGAAAAAGAATTTTTTTTTTCTGCCGTTTTTGCCAACTAAGCTAACGTTGTTGAAAATCTGCTTAGCAAGTAGTATGATTAGGAAATCATTGAGAATTGAAATGATGAGGAAATGTTTGTTAAAAATGATGCTTAAAATGACAGATGAAAAGTGGAGAAAAAACAAGTTGTAGATTACATTCAATTATTACTTCTACAACTAAAAAATACTACTAATAGTAATAGTTGTTGAAAGTTGTTTGTTTGTAAACAACATATCAATAAGTAAATATGTTAACACTGAATTGCTGTTTTAATGTAATTAGCAAAACTAAGTGATTTAATTTGTTTATCATTTTTCTAACTTGATGCTATTTAACTTTTAAAATTTACATATTGATGTAAAAGAAGGACGGGAAAAAAATAATGATACCCTTTCTTCAGCTGATGGGCCTAAAATAACCGAACTTGTGTTACGATTAGTTGGACAACGATGTCGTCTGAAAAAAAATGCTTGTTTTTACAAGTCTTTTAGTTTTTCTACAGTTTTTGTATCAGTATGAATATTGAAACCAAAAAAAAAATTTCTTCTTAAAAAATCAGATTGTTTTACTGGTAAACATTAAAAAAAAAAGTATTTTATTTGAGGCAAAAACAATGATATAAATAAAATTTCCTAATGTGTAACGATTTTTTTTTTCCCCTGATATGATTACGGAGACAGAAGAGACGAAGAAGATTAAGAAGGAGAAGAAGATGAAGAACAGACCCGCATGTGCACACTTGGCAAACACATTGTTCTTGATGACCGGGAGCCATATATAGAAGGAGTAAGACCCGTTGAAGATTAGTTAAATATATAGTTTAGCACCCGTCTTCTAATAACAACAATAATAATACTACTAATAATAATAAGAATAAGATTATAAACAACGACACCACCGGGTGGTTGTAGATCCTAAAAATGATCTAATTGTTAGTTTTACTGATTATTGATATAGAGAACCTTCGACGAAGGTATATGCAAGAAAAGAAACAATGGAGAAGTATTCACAATTAAATTACATTTAAATCATCAAGTAAAAGAAGAAGGCATAATGTTAATCATTAATTTTTAATGCTTTTTCTTGTATTGTTGTTGCTCTTTTTTCCTCTTTATGCTTTTACTTTACTCTATTTTACAGATCTGTTATTTGTTGCTATTTTCGTTCTCAATAGTTTCATTGTTAATGATCGATGGAAGAAATGAATGTGAAAATAGTAGTGATGGCTCATGGAAACTTCAATTCTATGCTATGGAAACCTTTTTTTTTCTGGTTTTTTTTTAATTCTCTTCTCTCCACAAAAACACAACTTAGACGATACACTGACACTTTACTTTTTCACTTAATTATCTCTTTTATTAATCAAAAAAAGAAATGGAAAAAAAATGAGTTTTTTTTCCTTAAAATGTTTGAAAACAGGAAAAAAAAAGTAAAAAAAAGTGAAGCAGAAAAGAAAAACTAAAAGAAAACTTATAACAAATTGAAAATTCAGCTATCCACTTATCCAAAAATTTTAATTTAATACAACAGCAGTTTGGTGGATACGCGACATTAGTTGCTGTATTTGAATAAAATTTGTTTTCTTTTCACTCTTCCACCACCTTCTTTTTAACATCTCATCAGTCACTTCTTATTGACAACTTCGTATGCTATAACGAAAAAAAAAATTTTTTTTTTTGCTTTTTTAATTAACCATTTAATTGTATGAGAAAATTCTTAAATTGTAATTTAATTCTTCTTTTCTCTTTCAATTCGTTTCTGTCATAGACAGAGGAATCAATACTTCTTTCCCCTCAAAAATCGAGAAAAATCGTTAAGCAAAGTTATTAGAATATAATTCTGTAAATATTGTATCGCTGAACAGTCAACAAGAAATATACCGTTGACATCAGCATATGTTGGATGACAATCATAAAATATATAAACGGTGAAAGAAAAAAAAAAAAAGAACTGATTGCAAGAAATTTTTCTTTTTTTTTCTTTCACAGCAACTATTTGAGAGAAATGAAGCCACGGGTAAGACTATACGTCAGAATATCAGCAAAAAAAAAAA